GTTTGTGGAAGCCTCACACTGCCAGTGAGTTGTAGATTTTGGGATATTCAACCTCAAGTGATGTAACAAAAATCCAACTGAGGCAATTTATCGAGCACTTGGTGCACAGAAGGTAACCAAGGATCCCAAGCTTGAAACAATTATGTCTTCAACCCAACATTACAAACAATTGACAATATAGAAGAAGAACAATGAAGAAGAGGATTTCACACAACCAAGTATACAAGTTTCACCCAATCTCAACCCAATTTCAATCCTAATTTTGCCAATTGTTGCGAACAAATTCAATTTTGCTTTTATTTTGTCTTATTAGTTAAATATATTTTAATAAATAAAGTTTAATTTGTCGAGTGGTCCCAACAAACGCCCCCATTATTTTTCTGAACACGCCCTTTCCAAAATGTCAAAAAAGTCAAAGGATAAAGGGCATTTAGGTAATTTGAGTGTGTAGGTCTAATTGGTCAAGTGTTTTTGGCAATAATGCTACGGGCACTGAAAAACCTGCATCGAAATTGTGTACCAACCTACGTGTAATACGTTTCTGATTTTTTTAACAATTGTTTTCTGGTGAATGGTCGTCCATCAAATTTGGACGGCCGTTCACTCACATGGACGCCCGTCCATATTATATGGACAGGGGTCCATATAACAGGGACGGACATTTCCAATTAAAGGACGCTCGTCCATAAGTAAAGTGGAATAATTTTTTTTTATGAAAATTAGGGACGGTCGTTCATCCGTTATGGACGGCCGTCCCTTCATTTTGAACGGCCGTCCCTTCATTTTGGACGGCCTTCCATAAATAAGGGACGCCCGTCCTTAGTTAAAATATGAAAATAAAAAAAGAAAAAAATTTGGAGACGGCCGTCCATAAATTTTGGACGGCCATCCCTTAAATTTGGACGTGCGTCCATTAGGAATGGACGGCCGTCCCTTAAGTTTGGACGGTACTTTAAAAAAATAAAAAACATTCTCTAAATACCCTTCTTCTTCGCTCTTCTTCTTCGTCTTCATTCACTGTGTTTTTTTCATATTTATCGCACCTTCTTCACTTGCCTCCATGGAAACTTTATTGCATCCTTCTGAAGTTTCGGACACTTTGTGCTAGTGGCTATTGTACACTGGGCTGCCATGGGAGTTGCACGCACAACAAGCAGATTGACCATACTGTGCATAGGAATTTTTCAAACTTACATGTAATTGTGTTTCCTGAAACAAATTAACTCTTCTGTGCTTTCCACCAAGTATGCCTTTTATCTCTAGTTCTTTTGCTTATAGTACAACATGTTTTTCTGCTCATCTTTCAGCGGCATATGTATTGCCCAGTCGTGAAGCCCTGTGTTTAGGAGATAGGGTCATAATGTATCTTCCACGTTGTGCAGACACTAATTCTGAAGTTAGAAAACTTTCTGCTCAGGTATGAATTTTATAGGCAGTTGGTAGTTTCTCCTATGGTTGAATACTTGCAAGTCTTTTACATAAAGTTTAGTAGCTCTCCAAATATTTTACTCAGAAATTTATTGTCCCTCAATTTTTATTTTGGTAGATTCTTGATCAACTCTTTAGCATCTCTCTTTCACTTCCAAGGCTGTTGGTCAAATTCTGGGGTGGATATAGAATTGTCCTACAGCGTTTGTCCTCCCTTGAGGATGTTATAGCCATCTTGAGATGTAAGTTTCTTATTACTGCATAATTCATGTCTGTTTATACTGCGGTTTACCCTTTAATTTTTTGTTCCCCCTTCTGTATATTCAGCATGCTTCTATTGATCCATTAGAGGTTTTCAACAGAATTGTTTCCTCTGCCTGTACTCTATTGACAAAGGACGAGGTATGGTTTTTTCGTAGATATATTTTACAATTTCTTTTAAGACACTGGCAGCTTCAAGTTACTTGTGTGATTTCTTGAAGCTTGTAGGCACCTTGCATAATTGTACCATAGCTATATGCGATAGGATTAAGCAGTCTGCGGAAGGGGCTATTCAAGCTGTCATTGAGTTTGTTCAAAGAGGGGAGCTGAGCTGAGTGAAACTGATGTTTCAAGGTTTTTCTTAAAAATATTTGATTGAGTTCTGAACTGAATCTTTTAAATTGCTGAACGCATATGGGAAGAGGATTTAAAAATTTATTAGTGTTGGAAATAAATAGAATAACATATATCTTAACATAATCCAAGATCATAGTCGCCATTGCAATCACATTTGTATAAATGAACTATAATAATTAACACAATATATACCTCATTTCCTTTCTCTGAAGCAACAAGGTAATCTGGAAGAAAAACCACGAAATGTATTTATGTTTCCCAAATTCTAAGAGAGAGAGCTATTTTTCTTTTTTGTTTTGAAAGTGACAGTATGTTACTAAAAGAAAGAACTTTTTTCTTTTATATGTAGCGGTAGAGAGAAACTGCATTGTGGCAGTTTCATTTCACACACATCGCTTGGGGTAACCCCATAGGTGTACCCTTATCCAATATCTCCCACTCACACATGATGGACTATCTCTCTCTATGCTTTTTTAAGGTTCATACCTTAGTAAATATGCCATGTGACCATGCATACTTCGAGAGGACTTTAGTCATATCTGTTAGGAATATATAACTTCTCGAATTGTGAACTCGGTTGTATGTTGTATGCAATACCCAGATTACTTATCACATTTTTCTAACAATCTCATTTACAAAAAAATATCCGTTGTATCCATAATTATGTTCTATCTTTACATAAAAGTAAAACATAATTGGTCGACCAATGAATACACTGATTATAATGTAGATATTCAAAATCGTAATCTTCCTCTTCTCGATTCTTGCAACTTTTTTAACTTGCTTTTCTAGAAATGTCCTAGTAGATTGAATTTATCTTAATCCTTTGGTAACACTCTAAGATAGCAATCATTAATGAAGTTTTCAAGAAACAGAATAGAATATAAGGGTATCTTTAGATTTTATTCTTAAAAAAAAAAAACTCAGGGTCTCACACAATATTAAATTGAGATTTTGACTTTCATATCCCCTTTGGTCAATGTTTTGCACATTTTTATGAACTACATGCTACATCATTTACCTCCTTTCCCATGGAGTGCATGTCTCTTTTCGTATAAATGTTGTACAGATTTTAGTTCAGACATACCTAATGTCTAACTTGAGTTCACTGTCATACTTTTAATTCATCAGAACTCTAATCTGGCAATTAGACAGTAAAGTGATCATTTATCACTTGTGGTCACATTTTCATTATGACATTATTTTAATTCTATTTTCTAGGTGACGTAAACATTTAAGCTTGGCTCTCTATTATCACCTAGATAATAAGCTTAAAATCGTCTTATCTATTCCTACGAAGTATGGAGCGATTGCCTGTGAGAAGGCCAATCTTTAGCTGTTGACATGCTTTTCAAATACACACATATATATAATATGTACATACTAATATGTATATACATATTACTTCTTCATGTATGTTCCATAATAATCTAATTGGCATTGACAATATGTTATTTAATATTGATAAGACAAATGGAACAATTTTAGGAAATCTCAAAGTATAAGTACATTCAACACCTACGTAAGCCTAGAGATCTCCATGTTCTATGAAAGTATCTCTTGGTTAGGCTTTGTGAAGGGATCCACAACCATTCTGCGTAGATATTACTTTATGTTCACCTCCTTTTGTGCCACCAGTCTCGCACAAAATTATATTTGATATCTATGTGTTTCGTTTTACCATGATTTTGGGATCCTTAGTGTATGCTATTGCTGCTTGACTATCACAGTTATTCTTACTGTTTCAATAGCAACATAAATTTCTCAGATGATTCATGAACCATCTTAACCAAACGGCTCTTGCATTGCAGCTGAAAATGCTACAAACTCAGCCTCCATTGTAGATAGGCTATGCTGATTGTTTCTTACCGCTCCAAGATATGGCCCCACCATTTAGTAAGAAAACATACCAGAAGTAGATTTCCTTTCATCTAATCTCCTCCCCAATCAGCATCGTGTAGCCTCTCAAGTGTAAATCATTTCCTTGATAACATAATGAGTAATTAGCTGTCCCTTTTAGATATCTTAAGATTCTCTTCACTGCTTTCCAATGTGCTGTCCGGTCGGACTGGTATCTACTTACCAACCCAACGGCATAACAGATGTCGGCTCTAGTGCACATCATGGCGTACATGAGACTTCCAACAGCACTTGTAAAGGAACATTCTCATTTGTTCCTTTTCTTGTGGAGTCTTCGGACACATTTTACGACTTAAAGTCTCGTCTTTCGCGATAGGTTGTCTATGGGTTTACATCTTGCATATAAAATCATTCAAGAATGTTCTTAATGTATGGTTCTGTGAAAGGATACTAATTTTCTTGGCGATCTCTGAAATCTTGACTCCAGAATATATTCAGTTTCACCCATATCTTTCATCTCAAAATGAGATGATAACCATCCTTGATTTCATTGACAAATCCCTTATCATTTCTAGCTATAAGTATATCACACATATAATGATAATATAACAATTTGTTATTGGATCTCTTTGTATATACACAATGATCTTCATTTATCTTTTTGAAATCATACGACATTATCGCATTATGAATAGAATATACCACTATCTTGAGGACTGCTTGAGGCCATAAATTGACTTTAAAAGTCTACACACTTGTGTTCTTGACCTTCTCTAATAATTCTTGACCTTCTCTAATAAAACCTATTGGTGATCCATATAGATTTCTTCTTGTAATGCTCCATTGAGAAAAGCAGTCTTTACATCCATTTGATGCAATTTAAGATCCATGCTAGCAACTATAGCTATAATAGTCGAATTGAGGTAAACCGTACAACAGGTGAAAAAGTTTCTTCTATCTATTCCTTCTTGTTGTGTATACCCCTTCGCGACTAAGCGAGCTTTGTATCTTTCAATACTGCCATCAACTTTACGCTTGATTTTGAGAACCCACTTATTCCCAATGGCTTTGCTTCCTTTCGTGTAAATCAACCAATTCCCATACTTGGTTTGATTTCATAGACTCCAATTCTTCTTCCATTGCTTTCATCCATTTTTCCTTAGAAGGGCAATTGAAGCCTCATTTACATTCCTTGGCTCTTCGTCATCTTTGGAGTAACTAGAAAAATTTCCCCCTCAATCTCAAATCGTCGACGTGGAACTTGTTTCCTGTTTGATCGACGTATTGGAGATTGATTATGTTACTCCCACTTAGACCAGCTATCATAGTTGGATCGCCAGTAGGAAGAGAAGATCGGAAACTGATTCATCAACTTCCATATTGCTCCCACTAGTGAAGTATAACCAACTGATTGTTGGCAACAGAATTGCCTTGGTCTTGTGTTTCATATGAAACATCTTTACCTATTTCGCCCTTCTTAGGAAATCAGTTTCTAAGATGTGACATCTTGTGATTCAAACTCAGTGATGCTACCACTTTCTTGTTCTCCTATGAAGACATATCCCTTTGAATGTTCTGAATATCTTATGAAGATACATTTCTTCCCCCTTGGACCTATTTTCCATATTTATGGGAAGGATCATGAACATAGGCAACATCCCCATGGCTTTAGGAGACTCAAATCGGGTTTCCGATTTGTCCATAGCTCATATGGTGTAGTAGTAATAGATTTGGATGGTACTCGTTGAGGATATATGTGGCAGTCAATAAGGCATCCCCAAAATGTGATGCAAGTTTGCTGTGTGCCATCATAGACCTCACCATCTCAGTGGTTCCGTTTCTTCGTTCTGCAACACCGTTTTGTTGCGGGTTCTGGGAATAGTTAATTGACTTCTATTCCCATTTCATCAAAAAATTTCTGAACTGATCAATAAATATTCACGTCCTCGATCGGTTCGTAAACTTTTATCTTTTTATCTAATTGATTCTCAACTAATTTTTTAAACTTTGAAGCATTCTAAGCTTCTGATTTTTGAGAAATCAAGAAAACATAACCATATCGAGTGAAATCATCATAATGTGATGAAATAAATAGCCCCATGTCTACCCTCACATTCATTGGACTACATATGTCAAATGAATTAGTTGCAATGGAACTTCAGCTCTTATCGCTTTTCCAAATGGTTTTTCTGGCTGTTTTTCCAGCTAGGCAATGTTCACAAGTAGTCAAGTCTACTTTTGTTAAGGATCCTAACAAGCTTTCTCTTGCTAGTATATTCATTTGTTCTTGGCCAATATGGCCAAGCCTTGCATGCCATACATTCACATCATCATTATTAGAAGATGTAATAAGGAAAAACAAACATTACTATTATTAAGTAACATCAAGTACTTAAACGATCGGAAAAATACCCACACCATAGTATGTTGTGTCCAAAATAAATGGCACCAGTACTGGAAAAATTTAAATTAAAACCAAGTTTAACAAGTCTAACACGGAAATCAAATTTCGACGAATATCAGTGCATATAACACGTCATGTAGGTATGGATGACCTCCACGCATGATCAATTTGCATGTGCCGATCCCTTTAACTTCCACTTTTGAATTGTTACCTACATATATCCATTTTGTTTCCTATGGTATCGTTGAAACTCCACGAAAGCACTCCTGTCTTTCGCTA